ACGATTAAGATGGGTTAGCATAGTTTGCACAAAATATTGGGTTAGTATTTGAACCAGCCCCTATATAGATATATATATATATATATATATATATATATTGTGGATGATGTAGAAAGATTTAAAGCCAAAACAAAAGTATAGACAGAAAGAAAGGATAAAGGTTACCAATTAATTATATCTGTATATGGAATGGAAGTAACATGATCTTGAAAAGCGTATTACCCAACTTAAACAATTGCAAGGTATGTTGTTCACATACTACAACAGGAAACTGCTAATGATGTATTTCTTTTCTACATCTAAATGCTTAATGTGATTCTAATGATTGGCATACATCATACATGCACTACTACATCTTCTAGCTACAAGGTTGGTCATCAGTTACTGTCTCCTTGTAGGTTGCACATTTCTGTCACTTCACTACTCAAATCTCCTCATTTCTAACACTTACAATTCCAAATTAACAGTTTTATCTACCATTATTAGGTCTACCAAGAACACTTCATTAATCAACTGGTTCATACTACACAAGTTGTGGGTATGAAATGTCTTTTGTGTGTGTGTGTGTATATATATATATATATAATTGAAAGTGTTTGGATCACATATGTAAGACTTGCCAAGAAACAGCATACAGTCACTTGTTCAGCTACTGATGCCAAATATCAGCTGTTACTCTTTATTATATATATATCCACGTAGTCATGTACGTACACTTTCTATATAAGGTCGATTACTGTTTAATTTGTTAGTTTGTGGCAAATGATTCCTTTTGGATTCTTTAATTATACTCTGACGGTCAACCAACTTTCTAATGTTTTTCACTGTAGGTCTCACACTTTTGCATTACTCTCTTTTCAAGCTCAACTATATAGTGAGGTTAACAGTTGAACAAAGAGAGCTTTACCCCCTTAATGATCAAACATAACATCGGAGGGTCGAATACAATTCAAGACCGATTTATGGTTGCAAGAAGGCAAGAATCTCAATATCATATATGATTACGCTCCTTTAGGTGTGTTTAATCATATATGATTAAACTTATCATGCATGTAATCATATATAATATTGAAACACATAGTTTTCTCGTAAAATGTTTAATTAACTTCTCGTTTGAAACCCCCCTCTCTCTCTCTCTTCTACATATACATACATATATATATATATATAAATATTTGAACGAAGTGATATGTCTGATAGTAGAAGGATGTTGTGTAAGGTTCAGATATATATTGGAGGGGGTCAAAACATAAAAATACAAATTTCTTGGGAGGAGAGATCGAGATCGATCACCTATTACTTACATATAACGATGAAATTCATTCCTTCTATGTTTAGTAGCTAATTCTGTATACAAACCCATGGTTATAGCAAACAATTTATAAACAATAATGGCATTCAGGAAAAAATTGAGAGAGAGAGTATCTTTAGATCCTAAAAAATAGAAAAATTAATCAAGTAGAACAAATTGATTAAGCTAGTTACAGTCCCATGCAAGTTGATCCAAAGAGCCCAGATTTGAATACATTCCACAAGGCATAAGTGCTGCTTCCATGAACTCTAAGTCGATGTTACACCCATCAAACGAAGTGATCATATCCATGTTGGTCTGACCCCCCTCAACATGATGATCACCACCCCTCAAATCCAAACCCTTGTTCACAAACTCCTGTGGACACACCATTTGTGGCATCTGCAACATTTCTTGGTACTGATCTTCTGCTCGTCTTGTCTGTTCGAACCCTACTCCGAGATTGCTGTTGCTACCCCAAGATTGCACCAAAGTGCCAAATTCAAGTGGGTTTGGAGGAGGAGGAGAAGAAGATAGTGGCAACAATATGGGCATTTTAGTACTCTCAACCAAAGGTCGGGTTGAGAATCCCATTGTAGATTGATGGCTAACATCATTCTTGAAAACAAAGTTGTAATCTTGGTTATGAAGATTGGAAGTTGGGTGTGTCAAAGAATTTTCATACAAGTTATGAGTCATTACAGGGTCATTAGTATCAGCAGACGAATGAGGTCGAAGAGAAGAGAACCTTTTGGCATCTTTTGTTTGTGAAGAGGCATTGTTTATAATGGAGAAAACTGGCTTCGTTGGATCGTAACTGTGTTTACTGTTATTAGCATTAAGAATTGGGATCTGATGTGGAGAAAGGAGGTTATGAGTGTTTGGATCCAAACCCTGAGCAATAAGTTTCTTCTTGATGCAAGAATTCCAAAAGTTCTTGACTTCATTATCAGTTCTTCCTGGAAGATGTTTTGCAATCTGAGCCCATCTGTTCCCCAATATCCTATGAACATCGATGATCGTTCTCTCCTCTTGCTCGGTGAAAGAACCGCGTCTCAGATCCGGCCTCAAGTAGTTTATCCATCTCAATCTACAGCTCTTCCCACACCTTTGAAGCCCTGCAAATTCAATCACAAATGCCAAACAAACCACCATTAAAATTCCAAGAACATTATTAAAGAAACACCATGAAATTTGTACAAACTGCATGAATATAGAAGCTGAAAAGGAAGATTTCAACTACTAGCCTGCAAGTTTTGGGACAGAACTCCAGCAGCCATGGCCATGGGTGGTGATCTGCTTGATGAGTTTCTCATCTTCCTCAGGAGACCATAACCCTCTCTTGACTTTCTGTTTGCTGCAGCAGTGATGCCCCATCTCCCAAATAGTTCCCTTCATAAAAACACCTCATATATCCTACTATATATTATATATAGATATAGACATATCTATAGATATATATATATCGTCAAGATGGATACTTCTCCCCATTTATTAATTATTAAATCTGTTTTTGGCTTTTTGCAATGATTTTTTATTCTTGGAAAAGTAGTAAACTATGTTTTTTTCTCTCAAAAAGATAACCAAGAGGTTCTCCAAATATTTGTTATGTTATCTGTGTGTGTTTTAGATGAAGTGTACGTCATATATTTGAACCAGTACATTTTAGTGGCCCTACAAACCTACTTCTAACGGTGTCATATAACTCGATCAAATGCTTCAAATTTCTACAAAAACCAGCTGGTTTTTATTTATTTAATAACATTTCCCATTTTCTTCATGAATCTTGTTTTCATTTCGGTTTCAGTTCATGTCTTTATATATGTTTCGTCATGCCATATACCATTACATCGAAATCTTCTCAAAAAGTGTTTAATCGATCTAACAATCAAAACGAACATGTTATACGATGATTGAACGATTAGAGACCAGAAGATGAATCTTGATCGTAATTTAAAGATAAGTGGACATCGAACATGTCATAAGACGATTGAACGCTATGGTTTTCGGATATTTAATTATGAAGCTTCGTTGTTACTATATATATCTTGTGCAATATAGAAAAGAAAAGCAAGTTAAAGATTACAATTTAACCATTAAATAAAACCAAAACAGATGACCCTTCAACAAGAAACATCCTTAACTTAACCATTTAATTATATATCAACTAACTGGAAAACCCCACATCATGTATTATATCATAAATATAAACCATGCTGTTGTTCATCCATATAAAGAGTACCCTATACACTTTTCATCAATCATATATGTATATATTGCATGCAATTATATGTATACGTTAAGTTAATATAGCTGTAAATTTGAATGCCAATATATATATATATATGTGTGTGTGTATTTTATATATCTAAATAAGGATATATGCATCGATTATTGACCCCTAAAAGGAAAGCCTATAAACGTGGAGATGGAGTGGAGAGCCAATGATAATGTGGCCATTTCAGAGATATTCTTTAATCAATTTCACAAGATACGGTCTCCATACACACAGCAGGATCGATGTGGGAATATTTTGAAACGATAACATCATTTGATTATAAAAAACAAATATATAGATATTTTATAAAAAAATATTGGTTTATTGATAAGTTACTTGTTTTTTTATATATAAAGTCCATATTTGAGTAATTTATTACGGATTTTTTTAAAAATATAATAAATTTGAAATTAAAAGTTAAAAACTAAGAAAATGATACAAATATGATTTCAACTTGCATTTGGAATGTAAGAAAAGTCGTACAAACCAACTCTATACCAAAGAAAATTTGTATGTTCATTGTAGTTTCAAAATATATATGATTACACACAACAAAATGATATGATGAGACCTTTTACGATGCTAAAAGATTTTACACTACGACAGAAGAACAAAGCAGTGGCTCGGCCACCGTATGCACTACACTACAAATGGGGGGCTTCACCGACGGACTGATCCGTCGGTTATCCGCCGGTAAAGCCGGTCAGTGGTGAATTACCGGCAGACAGTTACTTGCACAAACTCCTTGGCCGGTGATCGCTTTCACATGTGGATCATTGGCGGTCAGAGAATCACCTGCGGATAAGGTTGTCGCTAAATTTTGTCTAGATTGGCAAACAAAAAATTAATGAAGCCTTAATCGTTTTGGCAGATCAATTCAACGGTGGATTAAGCCGCCGCTAATCTGCCAGTGAATATTGAATTAAAATATTTAAATTAATAAACAATAAAATATTCAGTACCATCCTTAAATCTAGATATAACGACTAATTTGAAATTTTGGATAGAACATCAATAATAAATAAATAAATCTAAATATCAATACTTGATTACCTATAATGGCAGTCTAGGACTTATCATCAACAAATAATAATTCAAAGCTTCTATGAAGTCTAGGGAAGAGTGTTACTAAAGCCATTAACTATCGATATCTCCAAGTATGAAGATGTCTCAAAATAACTAAATCATTCTCATGCATCTAACATACATTCAATTCTTCACAGTATCGCTAGTATCATTCACCAATGAAGACCTGATGTACATGTCAACAAGAAAAAGTGTTAGGCTTTAATGCCTAATGAGTTCAACTAATTTTCATCTTTAATATAAAAAGGCAAAACTGAAAGAATGCTATTTAAATCACAATTTCCCCATATGAAATGTATTTAGTATTAAAACAATATCTTTTCCAAAACCCACCATTTTTATGATGAACCGTCGATGATCAAAACACCCATTTAAACATGAAACCAAAACTCTCTACTCGCACAAATCATGAATAAGGCTTAATATTCCAAATATTAAACACATGGACAAAACTATATTATCCAAAACACCAAAACATGGATATATTCCAATATAACAAAACATAAATTATGGATACACTTCATATCGAAAACAACACAGAAAACATGGATAATACACTATTCAAAACATCTTTTGGTGATGGGGAGACCTTTATCCATTGAATTTAGCAAACATAAAGTAAGTCATATATCGACGTTACTGAGTTTCTCTCAAGGTCAATAAGCTTTATATACGACTCTACCGAGTACCACTACAAAACCCAAGCTCTATATACAACTCCAGTGAGTACCACCGTAAAACCCAAACTCTGTATAAAACTCTGATGAGTACCACAGTAAGCCTCAGCTCCGTATACAGTTCCAAAGAGTACCACTGCAAGCATTAGGGTGACCATGATTCCTATTCATCCTCTAGAAGTGTCTCACCTACAAAAGTCAACAGCCTTCGTATAAGACTGATACGAGTACCACTGCCAAACCATGGCTCTGTATATGATTCATACGAGTACCATCACAAGCTTTCCTAATCATTGACTTGGTAACCACTCACTAGAAATTAAAGTGAGAACATTAAAACCTCTCACGTAAACAATAAACATCGACCTATTAGTCCAAAGTCAAATTTTATGCAAGTTCACCTTAGGAATGCCTGTAACACCTGTGTTTTGTAACTTGAAAGATTTTAGAAATTCAGAATGCTTGGTTTATCTACTCTTTTATCATATAAAAATTTAAGATCCAATTCCATGTTTATTTTGTGTTGGTTTGTGTTAAGTTGGAAGTGACAGAGCCGAGTAAAGGCAAGCCCAACAGTAAGCCAAGTGGATTTTCGAGTGACCTAGCTCGTGCAAAGGCGCCTAAGCTATTGCCTTGAGTTGAAATTCACGATCAGCAAAAGGAAGGCCAAGCAGTGAACGAGGCATCATGTGAAGCCACTTAAGCCGCACCAAGGGAAGTCACCCCCTAGGTTGGGATGTGTCGTGGAAGGCCAAGCGACCTAGGCGGGGTGGCCTAAGCCGCATCATAAACATCATGCGTACCTGAGGGCCTTAAGCCTCGGCAGCAACCTTCTACCCCATTGTTTTCACCTCCTCATTCTACTTTCTCCCTTACTTTCTCTCCTTGGGTCTGATTTTGAGTTACCATGTAGTATCTTTGGAGCTCTTGGGAGGAAACTAACCTAAGGATCAAGAGATTTAGTTGGGACTTCAATGTTCTTGATGAGGTAAGATTTTTGAGAGTTCTTCAATAATTAGGGTTTTGGTTACAATTCTGATTTTGGGGTGCTTTTGGTGTATTTCTAGGATGGTTGTGATTCAGATATATATTCTAAAGATGGATGTTTGTAGATCTAAAGCTTTCCCCAAAGGAAGCTCAAGATTTGGGTTAAAACCTAGATTTAACTTAAATCTAACAAAGTGAATTCAAGTTGTTTCGTGAAAATTTTGTACATGTCAAAAATGTCCATTTTAAAGTATTAATATGTTTTATCTGATATTAATCAATAGTGTGAGTCATATGAGTTTTGCATATTTGAAATATTTATGTTATAAATTTTCACGAGATACATATGCTTGGGGTTATTAGACATTGTGATAAATAAATCATAAGTATGAATTCTTTTAATGATTTATCTAATAAATGGATATTAGATAAATGCATCAACGTGAAAAAACTTCCATTGATCATGCAATAAGTAATAAAAAAGACACACTTTGATTTATTTTTCCAAATGTCTAAAGATGTAAATCTCATCACCAAGATTTATAAATTCAAATGTATCAAAGATGTAAATCTTATATGATAATCAACATATTTGATAAATATCAAGAAAATATCTTAAGATTTCAAAATAGACATTTTTGACATGTACATAATTTTCACAGATTAATTTAAAACTCACTTTGCTATGTTAAATTAAACCTAGATTCCAAACTCAAATCTTTTACAACATAATCTTCAGGAATTAAATATATGTTATTTGAAGAGATATGATAATATATAAAAATAAATGGAGTCCAAAAAAAAGGGGTATCTAGCTATAAAGAGTAACATGTTTAAAACATTTGGAATAAAGGCGAAAGGGTAGGATTAGATGTTTTTCCCCAACCTAAAAACGTTGGTTGGGGAAAGTCTTTCACTAAATTCTCGTAATCAATGGACATGAAATGTCGTCATCATTATGCTTAGAGTGGTCTCTACTTTCATCATTCATAACCATTATTATTATTATTATTATTATTACTATTATTATTATTATATAAATATCATTAATGTTATAATACCCTCACGTTTCCGACTATTTTTTGGATATTTTAGGATGTATTTGACAGATCAAAAAGGGTGTTTGAGATTGCTTATAAAACAACTTATTTTGGTGTGACACCGATAATAAGCATTTTTGAGTGTTTGGATAAACAACTTATACTTTTGAAGAAGTTAAACCCTTCTAACTTATAATAAGTTGATAAACATTTTTGTAAGAAAGTATAAGTTGTTTCAAATAAGCAATTCCAAACACCTCCTAAATAAAAAAAATAGTTATTAACTGATAATCTATTTAATAAATTACA